ACACTGAAGTGTACTGACACCACTTGCATCCAATGAAGGGTAGTGATATATATCACTTGTATACTACTGGGAGAACTGTCTAACCTAACCTAGCCTAAAGTAGCTCCATTAACCAAGTCTAGTCTAGCCAGGCATAACGTAGCCCCACGAAAAGCTAGCCTAGTCTAGTCTAGCGTAACCCAACCCAATCAAGCCTAGTCACCACCTTACGCCTTGACAAGCCTAGCTTAACATAGTACTATCCTACCTAATCCTGCGTATTAGCTCAGAATAATGGCAGGAAGTTTCAGCTATAAGAAGCTAGAATGTTCTGCTCACCCTAGAAGGGCAATACAAGATCCCCAGTAGCTCGGAAACAATTATTACATCCGGGACTTCGTCTGGAAGTTAATACATATTCTGGTCATGCAATTTAGGTCTACCGACACGGACTGCTGATGGTCGCCTTTGGGCAACCATTGCTCTTCTTGCAATGAGAAACAGTGAGTTAACGCGTGTAATTGGTTCAATGTCATCAGGATGTAACTCAGATTTTGAAGAAATAAAATTCGTGAACTTGTATATAATGTATAGTTGTTATTCCACTAAGTTGCCGTTAATTAACCTAGTTTACAATTACATTATACAGGTTTATGAACCTGAACTTAAAAGTTATATTCGGACGGAAAGGAGCAATTATCCAAGGCTAACCTTGATGGTTGTGTTGTGTCATTTGTATGTAGGTTACTCTTCTGGCACCTTGGTATCTGTTTGCAGTACGAGGCAAGAGCCTCTCACACTGCAAACGGGACGATATATTGCAGTTCCTCTTAGGAAGATTATGGTGTTTTTCGTAATCACATTTTTTTTAAATTAATTTCATCTATTTGGATTTAAATTTTAAACGAGCCTTTCAGGAATGCGAGTCGTCCTAAGTGTTAGGTATTTTATGTAGATGGTAATTTGACGATATAGTAATAGAAAAGTATGCAACTCACAGCACACCTGATTTACCTGATTTGCGTATCCTCGAGATACGTAAGAAATCAAAACAAGAGAAATGGCAAATGAAGTTTACACAGTTGAGAAAATCTATAACCAAAACTTAATGCTTGTGTTCAAGCCAAACATGGAGACATAGAAATATAGCCTAACCAACCCTAATCTAACCTAACCTAACCAACCCTAATCTAACCTAACCTAACCAACCCTAATCTAACCTAACCTAACCAACCCTAATCTAACCTAACCTAACCAAATGAAACCAAACCAAATCTAACCTGAGTTAAGAGTAAATTTTGTCGCTGTAAAGCGCCTGGTGCCACAGAGAGAATATGTCCCTTCAGAACTAGCCTGGTGCCACTTAGGGAATGTAAACCTTGAGAAGTAGCCTGGTGCCACTTAGGGAATGTAACCCTTGAGAAGTAGCCTGGTGCCACTTAGGGAATGTAACCCTTGAGAAGTAGCCTGGTGCCACTTAGGGAATGTAACCCTTGAGAAGTAGCCTGGTGCCACTTAGGGAATGTAACCCTTGAGAAGTAGCCTGGTGCCACTTAGGGAATGTAACCCTTGAGAAGTAGCCTGGTGCCACTTAGGGAATGTAACCCTTGAGAAGTAGCCTGGTGCCACTTAGGGAATGTAACCCTTGAGAAGTAGCCTGGTGCCACTTAGGGAATGTAACCCTTGAGAAGTAGCCTGGTGCCACTTAGGGAATGTAACCCTTGAGAAGTAGCCTGGTGCCACTTAGGGAATGTAACCCTTGAGAAGTAGCCTTGTGCCACTTAGGGAATGTAACCCTTGAGAAGTAGCCTGGTGCCACTTAGGGAATGTAAACCTTGAGAAGTAGCCTGGTGCCACAGAGTACTTGCATCACCCACCAGAGTGCGGTCTCCCGTCTCACAAACCAAGTGCTGCGTCAGGCCAAAGATGAAAGGTGTTCTTATTCTTAAAGTGAAGTTGATACTGACGTTTGGTAAATTTTGTTTGCAAGCTGTAAGCTTTGCTAATGTAGTGTGTGTGTGAAGATATTTTTCTTATCAAGTATCTTATCAAGTGTCGATAATTTGTATTTGTAATACTGTATTATTATTATTATTATTATTATTATTATTATTATTATTATTATTATTATTATTGAGTAACTTACTACAATACCGTACTGTTTGAATAAAGGTGAAGGACAGACCCATACATGTGTAAGTGCATTAAATCAAATTTCCGGATGAAACCTTCATACTGTACTTTATCAAGGTGCTGTTAAATACTGTTCATCACCATGATAAAGGATAAAAGTTTCATCCGAAAATCTGGCCTAATAATATAATACACTTACACATGTACTGGGTCTTTCATTCATCTTCATTAATATTATGATTTTGATTATTATTATTATTATTATTATTATTATTAAATTGTTTGCCCAATACTGTACTTTTCTGGTAGATCGTCGGTAGATGTGTGTTAATTTTTGTGATCAAATATTTTGATGTGTCGAGAGTCAGGGAATTATGTTCGAGAACCTTAAAACCACAAAAAAACACAAATTTCTAGTGCAACTTTGACGACAGGAAAGCATCCTATATAAAGGATGGTTTGCTCATCATATCTTCAGCCACGTTACTGAGACTCATCGTCTGCATCTTGTGGTAAAACCACGAAAATTGGTAAAGTTGACAAAAATATTTTAGAAAAGAAGAAACTCGGTTGGCCTCGAGGAGTAACTGATGATGATGGTGGAGGTGGTGTTGTCTCCCGGAGAAGGGAACAACCAGCTCATCATTGCAACCCATTACAGCGAGAAGATGGACACCTGCGGTACATATACACAATTAATAAAGACTAAACATCTGAAAAAAGAAACTACAGGAATTGACTGTTACTTCTAACCCTCCCACACACTACATCCCTCCCTCACATTATAACTCTCCCATACACACAGTGAGTATTGCTTGTATGGTTACAATGGTGCCCCATACACACAGAAGGTGGTGGTTGTAGGTTTACAGAGGCACCCCATACACACAGATACAGTGGGTGGTGGTGGTGTGAGGGGCCACAGCCACAAAGGACGCAGAAACAAATTCCCAGTGTTTATTAAGCTAGGCCAGCTAGTGATGACATCAGCTGGCCAAATGTTTGTTTACATCAGCTGGCCAAATGTTTGATTACATCAGCTGGCCAAATGTTTGATTACATCAGCTGGCCAAATGTTTGATTACATCAGCTGGCCAAATGTTTGATTACATCAGCTGGCCAAATGTTTGATTACATCAGCTGGCCAAATGTTTTATACATCAGCTGGCCAAATGTTTTATACATCAGCTGGCCAAATGTTTTATACATCAGCTGGCCAAATGTTTTATACATCAGCTGGCCAAATGTTTTATACATCAGCTGGCCAAATGTTTGTTTACAGAGTACAACATTCCTAGCACGAAGCAAAGAAAGAGTTAATGAGCTTCAACAATAATTACCAAAGTGATGAATGAGCTCGGGAAAGATACTCATCTGGGGACTCCCAGGTACGTATAAACCAAAAGCATTGCTTATAATATATAGAAATCTGCTTATCTTATTGTACGTTACACAGAGACGCGGCTCTTCAAGCTTATTCGGGGTCAAACAGGAATTTACAAACACTAATTCTGATTCCCTTATTAACAATTTATGTATATCTGTCAGTAGTTTTTGACAAGTTCATATTAAAAATATGTCTTAGGGCGCCTGACAGCTGGGTGGACTGCGCTTCGGATTCGTAGTCCTGAGGTTCCGGGTTCGATCCCCGGTGGAGGCGGAGACAAATGGGCAAAATGTTTCTTTCACCTTGATGCCCCTGTTACCTAGCAGTAAATAGGTACCTGGGAGTTAGACAGCTGCTACGGGCTGCTTCCTTGGGATGTGTAACAAAAAGGAGGCCTGGTTGAGGACCGGGCCGCGGGGACACTAAGCCCCGAAATCATCTCAAGATAACCTCAAGATAGGGAATTAGGAGCAATTACAGATGGCACAGTAACAATTTATGTTTAAAATGTGGAAATCTGAACACATTTATCAGTAACAAGTATGGGGAAGAACGGCGTGTGAGGTGAAGACGCTAAGTAACACACACACACACACACACACACACACACACACACACACACACACACACACACACACACACACACACACACACACACACACACACACACACACACACACACACACACACACACACACACACACACACACACACACACACACACACACACACACACACACACACACACCTCAAGGCAGGAGTAATCACTCATTGTCACCACTACACTTCCGGCAGTACTAGAGGCCGTGTTGGGAAGACATCACTGAAAACTGCTTCGCAGAGTATGTAGTGTTCTGTGATTTTGGTGCGTAATTAGCGTCTTGGCTGGAGGGTGGGAAGGGAAGGATACTAAGCTGGAGAAGGGGATGACCTTGCAAGGAAGTGGTACTCTTGGCTGTCTTGGAAAATATTGTCGGGTACATTTTGATAACAATTAAAGTTTATCTATTCCAGATCAATACACAGACGTCGACTGTTTATTCCTAAAGTTGTGTTGTCCATCGCATCTTTGTCAGTGACCCTCGTTCTGCGCCTAGTACATTGGCCTACCATACATACACAAATTTTAAAGAATACAAAATAAATTTTCGGCCAATGTCTCCTATTTAAATTTAGAGTTATATGCATGTAACGTATGAGGTCAAAGATTGTATAATATCTTGATAATGAGAAAATAATAAAACGTTTAAGCCAAGCAAACGTTGCGGGGGGCCGTGAACATTTACATGTGTGTGTTACTGACTGAAGGTGTAAAATGAGACCTTCGAGGGAGACTTGTAGCTTCTACAATGATGGAAAGTAATGGTCAGTAAGCCCCTAAAGAGTGGGAGGGAGGAAAGAGGCCAGGGAGGGAGGTAGGGAGGGAGGCATTGAGGCGTGAGAGAAGGAGAGTGAAGGTATATAAGCCGTGGGACAACCGTAGCTAACGTCACACTTCACCATGAAGCTCCTGGTAAGTCCTGCCTCTCAAACTCACCTTCCTCCATACAACAGTGACTGCCACACTCCACCACTAACTACACTTTCATGGAGGCATATCTACTCACCGTCTCGTACACACTCAACAATATGCATGTTCCTAACATGTTCACACAAACTCTGCAGCTGGAATTTAGTGCACTATTTGAATTTGAATTTAAAATAGTTAAGATACACAACTACTGTACCAGCTACATAAGTACTATTCATCCTCAATGAGAACACTGAACTAAATTAATTATTTCCAATAAATACATAATGTAAATAATTTATTCATAAGGGACGTGTGTGTGTGTGTGTGTGTGTGTGTGTGTGTGTGTGTGTGTGTGTGTGTGTGTGTGTGTGTGTGTGTGTGTGTGTGTGTGTGTGTGTGTGTGTGTGTTCACACGTACACCCGTGAATATAACATTATCATTAATTTCGTTACATTTACTCTTGTAATTCGTGTACACTACAGGTCCTGCTCTCAGCGTTTGTGGTGGTGAGGGCTGACAAACTTCCGAGTTACAGCCTGCCCGCGCCCTCTGGTCCAGCACTTCCTCCTGCAGGACCTCCTCCTGGAGCACCTCCTCCTGGAGGCTGTCAGGACGGTGAAGTGCTTCATGTGGACGGCTCTTGTGTTACTCCTCAGGTGGTCAGAAAACTGTATGTGTTCACCGCTCCTGAACACCAGCAACGGGCCAATGGCCCTCCACCACAGATCCCTCCTCCCAGGGTGAACCACAACATCTTGTTCATCCGTACTCCTGAAGGTGGTCAAGGCCCTGAGCCCATCGTGGTGCCGCCGCCCAGCCAGAAACACATCGTGTACGTCCTCAACAAGCAGTCCGACCAGGCACAGCGAGTCATCGAGGTCCCAGCACCGCCGCCCAGGAACCCCGAGGTGTACTTCGTCAACTACAACGAGGGAGACAACCCGACCCTCCCCGATGGTACGGACTTCCAGACTGCCCTCAGCTCCGCGGTCCAAGGTGATGGGCAACTCATCACCGGCTCCGGGGGAGCTGCTGCTGGAAATGGTAATGGTAAAACTGACAGCATCAACACTCGCAACTTCGAAGGCGCTGGTATTTCCGGCAGCGATGTTACTGTTGGCGATGGCAGCTTTGAAGGCGATAGTAGTGCCAACGTAGGAGGAAGCGATAGTTTTGAAGCCAACGTTATAGATACCACTGGTAGTTCGGGTGAGAACGGCAAAGGTACCAACGGTGGCTTTGTAAGTAATGTTGGAGGAAGTGGCGTATTTTTTGAAGGAACAGCAGGAGGGATAAGCGGAGATTTGGGAGGTGAAGTTCAAGGCAGCAGCAGTGGTGCTGCAGGTACCATCGATAGTTTTGGAGGTGGTTCTGCAGGCAGTATCGGTGACTTTGGAGGTGCTGTTGGAGGCGCCATTGGTGGTTTAGGAGGTGGTGCTATAAGCAGCAGCGGTGACTTTAGAGGTGTTGCTGCATTCAGCTTCGGTGGTACTGCAGGCATCGATGGTTTTGGAGGTGCCACTGGAGGCAGCAACGGTGATTTTGGAGGTGGTTCTGGAGGTAGTAGTGGGGATTTTGGAGGTAGTGCTGAAGGCAGCATTGGTGGTTTTGGAGGCAGCATTGGTGGTTTAGGAGGCAGCATTGGTGGTTTTGGAGGTAGTGCTGGAGGCAGCATTGGTGGTTTTGGAGGCAGCATTGGTGGTTTTGGAAGTAGTGTTTCAGTCAGCATCGGTGGTTCTGGAGGCAGTAGTGGTGGTTTTGGAGGTAGTGCTGAAGGCAGCATTGGTGGTTTTGGAGGAAGTACTGGAGGCAGCATTGGTGGTTTTGGAGGCAATGCTGGAGGCAGCATTGGTGGTTTTGGAGGCAGTGCTGGAGGCAGCATTGGTGGTTTAGGAGGAAGTGCTGGAGGCAGCATTGGTGGTTTAGGAGGAAGTGCTGGAGGCAGCATTGGAGGCAGTGCTGGAGGCAGCATTGGTGGTTTTGGAGGCAGTGCTGAAGGCAGCATTGGTGGTTCTGGAGGCAGCATTGGTGGTTTTGGAGGCAGTGCTGGAGGCAGCATTGGTGGTTTTGGAGGCAGTGCTGCAGGCAGCATTGGTGGTTCTGGAGGCAGTGCTGGAGGCAGCATTGGTGGTTCTGGAGGCAGTGTTGGAGGCAGCATTGGTGGTTTTGGAGGCAGTGCTGGAGGCAGCATTGGTGGTTCTGGAGGCAGTGCTGGAGGCAGCATTGGTGGTTTTGGAGGCAGTGCTGGAGGCAGCATTGGAGGCAGTGCTGAAGGCAGCATTGGTGGTTTTGGAGGTAGTGCTGAAGGCAGCATTGGTGGTTTTGGAGGTAGTGCTGAAGGCAGCATTGGTGGTTTTGGAGGAAGTGCTGGAGGCAGCATTGGTGGTTTTGGAGGAAGTGCTGGAGGCAGCATTGGTGATTTCAGAAGTGAAGTTGCAGGTAGCAATGGTATTGCAGGAGGTAGCAATGTGGGTGCGGGGGTTGATATCAGAAGCAGCAACGTTGGATTTGGAGGAAACGTCCAAGAAAATGGTATATTTGAAAGCAGCGGGAATGGGTTTAATAGCCTCCCTGGGGGATACCGGCCTCCCCTTAGTGGGACTAACACGGGGGGCGTAGTGAGCGCCCCCGGGGGATACAGGCCTCCTCCAAGGGGCGCCTCACCGTCTGCTCTATATACACAACCTTAGACGAACTGTTTACTCTTGGCCTCAGGCCGTCTGTCAACTAACAAACAGTACTGTTAACCTCAGGAATACCGTTGTATCTTCAGAATCTTCCTCTTCAAAGGATTAATATATATTTCAGAGTTTCTATTCTACGTCGAAACTAACGGTATGGCTTATATTTTTAATTGAAAATAAATGTATAAATCAATAATAACTGTTTATTTCCTTGGTGGATGTAGAGTAATTGAAGGTGGAGTTAGCGAATACCCGGAACACAGAAGGTTCCTGACAAGGTATCATTGAGAGAAGCATTAACCCCCGTGGAGTGGGCTCCAGCTCGCAATCCTCGACACACATTACCGACTGAGCCACGACGAGCTCAAAAGTACCTCTGCAAAAGTGTCACCTGTGCTACCTTGGTGGTACTTGTACCTCTGGAGTCCAGAGGTGTGTAAAGTTCGGTCTCACTGCGTGTCTTCAGTAATTGATCTGCACCTCGGTATACATCAAGGTTTGGTGATATAGTCGTGCAATGCATCATTACGCAAGAGTAATGAATATGATAGTCTTTGCTCTACACAATTTTCTAGTATGGAAATTAGGGTTGTGGCTCATTTACTGTCGTCCAGTATATGACGGACCAATTACCACCATGTAGAAATGTTCTTACCGACTGAGTTGTTAGTGCAGCTTTCTCTCACAGTCTAGTAATTATATTGTCTTCAAAACATTGCAAGGTGCAAACATTAAGTTAATGAGATTTGTGCAACTGCGTTCTCCAATAGGGCAACAGCTGACGATTAAGTCGATTTTGTCACTGATGAATTGCCTAGACGCTACTTAATTTTACCTTCAAGAAGTATCATTGAAGTGATTATACTATAAGAAAATCACCACTTTTAATCGAAATGTCGATGTTTTAACATTTCCAGTAAGAAATGCTTCTTTTAAGCAAATTATTATGTATTAGTTTTAAACTAGGATTCTTATTACTAAACTTGCGATGGATTTAGATACAGACGATGTATTTGTTGTCTAACTCCCAAGACTTGATTGAATTTCTCCGAATACTAAATAACTTGGTCCATCTACTATGAATTAGGTTCATCATTTAAGCTTAGTGGGTATAGGAAAAAAAACTTGTATGCTCGTATGTGCATTGTTTACTTGAAGCAAGAGTGAAGTAAATAGTGTTACTCTCAGTGTTGCTTAGATCAATACGTATTTACAGTTGAGAATTTATAGATGAGATAATAACCAAGATATTCGACACTGCCACTAAGCAATGCCTAAGCGTTCACAGAAAGGTCTTACGGACGAAGGGAGGGTTGTAAGTACATACTGTTGTGCTACTCCAAGAAGGGTTTAATACATCAGAATGAGTGACAGTTACTTTCCTTATTGCGAGCATCCTGACCTGGTTGATAAGAGCAACAGCTTCACATTTTACACACTGAAGTACTAGGCCTATAGTCAACGGCGATTAATGAGTAATAGCTAGACCGTTTTGTTTACTGTCACGTGTCTTTACACAAATTATTCAACATAACTGGAAAAGTAATTATCAAAAGAAAGCAATAAGCGAGGAACGCTTAGAGTATCTAGGTATCTTTCAGGGAGCTAAAACATGAGCAGGAAGGAAGGTGAGTGATGTCAAACATGACGGGTTCACCGAGGACTGTAAGGAGGCAGAATATGACTGATGAAGATTAAGCCAGCCAAGAGGTGACGACACGGGCATGAGTAGCCCGGAGAGGAAGAACATGCTGAAGAAACAATGGGGCGATAAAAGATCCAACCCCAAAAAAGACAACATTCCACGAGGAGGTGAGCAACTGTGACCAGAAAAATACAATTCTGAGAGTGCGGCGCATGTCTCTGTTCCATTAAGTGAACATGAGTTAATTGTGTGCGGGAAATATATATAACTTAGTCGGAGACGTTTCCAACCTCTCAGTGACAGGGAAAAAGGCCACGAGTTTGGCTGCAGATCTCGTTATGAATGATAAGGCAGACATGTGAGTACGGAAGTGGCTTCTGTGAGACAGGCCGGACACGAACAAGATCTCCAGCACCAGTGTCTGCCAGGTCACCGGTGGAAACATTAACATGGCTGCCAACCCAGCAAAACATTATTGTGTTATATCAGCTAATGATCGGGAACAGATGATATAAGATTATGTCTAAGGGATGAGAAGGGTTAAAAGACTCAAAGTCTCTAAGAGACTCAACTACAGGAAGCACAGTCATTGACACATGATAAATATCAGCCTCAAGAGCATATGATATTATATAAAGTGCACTTAAGGACATTTGTATATTTATTACACTGTATACATTATTAACTTGTAAATAATGTAGACAAGTAATTTATGCCTTATTTTAACTAAATAAGGCAGAGTTATGCTCTGTTATGTTATGCTAAAATAGGCATATTCAGAGGTTAGGTAAAGTTTCAATAAATTATTTTGTATTTATATTACAAGTATGAATCACACAAGGTTTATTAAATGGACATATCAATAAATACCGAAGAAAACTGTTGAAACTAACGTTTTAAGGAAATTCGGCTTGTTAGTAAAAAATTTGCTATTGTTTACACACACACACACACACACACACACACACACACACATACACACACACACACACACACACATACACACACACACACAAGATTCTCAGAGGAATTGATAGGGTAGATAAAGACAGACTATTTAACACAAGGGGCATACGCACTAGGGGACACAGGTTGAAACTGAGTGCACAAATGAGCCATAGAGACGTTAGAAAGAATTTTTTCAGTGTCAGAGTAGTAGACAAATGGAATGCATTAGGCAGTGATATGGTGGAGGCTGACTCCATACACAGCTTCAAGTGTAGATATGATAAAGCCCAGTAGGCTCAGGAATCTGTACACCAGTTGATTGACAGTTGAGAGGCGGGACCAAAGAGTCAGAGCTCAACCCCCGCAAGCACAACTAGGTGAGTACACATATTGTGAATAATTTAAATTTGAGGGAATGTTAGCACAAGGTGAGAAATATTGGTCATGGGCAGAAGACAACATTACCACCACCGGACAACACTCAAGTCATGGCGGAGTAGCGAGACCTTCCATCACCAGGATGAAAGACGCGGTATCATCATTACCTCATTTCCCACTTCCATGGTGCTGGGGAGGCCTCAGCGCTCTAGTAATGCGCAAGCTATATACTTAAAGATGACTAAAGATACTTAAATATACACCTCATCCCACTGGCCATATTTTATCCACAACATACTGCGGTGTCACGTATAGCAAGCACCTTCACAAGCAAGCAACACAACCACAACAACACCCCCCAACGCTTCATACACCCTGGTTAATAGCGCTTTCAGAGAGTTGTCGAGAAAAAACATGCCAATCACTCACTCCCTCCTACGAAATTAATACCATTCAGAAGAGCAGAAGAGATTAGAGGCGAAACCAGCAACTCATCCTCATTCTATGCTCGGCCTTGCGGCGCTCGACCCCCAGCTCGTTCTCAAGCTGTGCTCGTCCAAGCTCAACAGGACCCCCGAAGACGCACTCGTAAATTTTAACAAAAATATAAATTATTATCATTGCACGGTACATGTTATAGTTTTGTTCCTACCGACAGTTAGACCTGTGTTAGATAAGGTTAGGTGTTTAGGTTATGTTGTCAATTATGTGTGTTTACAGCACTCAATTCAATTTCTTTCTTTATTATTCACCCCATACCCATCCCGTGGGCGGTGGTGTAAAGGATTACAGAGGCACATAATCGGTTCAGGAACTGAACCCTCTAGTTCGTTTAGCTAAGCACTCGGGCTAAGGATTTAGAGAAGAGCGCTTCCAACATAGGACACGGGCGAAGAACTCTTCGAGAAAAGTATAAACATAATTTGTTTTAAGTGTAAAGTGTTTACCACTTATAAACAAGGGGGGGGGGACAGTGATGAATCAAGGAGTGGTTGGCCAGTGTGTTGCGGATGGACTGGCTCCAAAGAGATCTACGATTGCTTGTTGTGTGTGATGCAGCAGAGGGCGTCCTCCCGCCTCCATGTGTTGAGATAGCAAGTACTGTCCACAGACAAGGTGGCACTATGGTGTTGGGCTTTGCTCGCGTGTGTGTAACTGTGCACGACTAGTGTGAACAGCCTCACTGGCCTCCACAACCTGATAAAACACACACCTCGCCCCTGCAACTAGCTTCAAGTTGTAGAATAGTTAGCGAGGTGTATACAATATATATACACGAGCTGTATATATATATATATATATATATATATATATATATATATATATATATATATATATATATATATATATATATGTATACGAGGTGTATAGAATACACACCTCGCCCCTGTAAGCGCCCAGCATATCCCACCCATCGAATTCTGTCTATCAACCTTGCCATTACAATCATTAATAAATGCCACATTTAACCAAGACTTCTTCAACCACACACAAATGCTTCTTAATTCCGATTTTTCCTTTGCCTTTCACCTGTCCATGTCATACATGTCCAAGCCTTTCACTTCACTCCTCATTCACAAACGTCCTAACAACCCCCCCCCTCTAACACAACCCTACCCCACACCCCCCTAACACAACCCCCACCCCACACCCCCCTAACACAACCCCCACCCCACACCCCCCTAACACAACCCCCACCCCACACCCCCCTAACACAACCCCCACCCCACACCCCTCTAACACAACCCCCACCCCACACCCCCCTAACACAACCCCCACCCCACACCCCTCTAACACAACCCCCACCCCACACACCCCTAACACAACCCCCACCCCACACCCCTCTAACACAACCCCCACCCCACACCCCTCTAACACAACCCCCACCCCACACACCCCTAACACAACCCCCACCCCACACCCCCCTAAAACAACCCCCACCCCACACCCCTCTAACACAACCCCCACCCCACACCCCCCCTAAAACAACCCCCACCCCACACCCCCCTAACACAACCCCCACCCCACACCCCTC